GCTTCCTCAAATGCTTCCTGGTTAGAAAGATGCAAGAAATACTGATAAACCCAACAGCAGCAGGCTCTATCATGCTGTTATCTTCTATTAACAAGAAAAGAACATTTTCTATTCTGGGAGGCATGGGCCAAAGGGAGAATAGAAAATGTGGCTTCCTTATTTGCATTCTTGATTTGAATGTGTATAATCATTCACTATAGTACCAGCTAATGGAAACAGGATGTGCCATGGACCTTGATTATTCAAATAAAGATCAACCTTTTGGGCTATCCAGGGTCTAAACCCTTATTCTATGTTTGAAAAGTTACCCACTGTACCAGAGACTGGTAACTGTTTACCCTTTTTCCTTTTCTCTTGGGTACTTGGCTAGACATTTTGCAGTTTCTCTTATAATTATGTCAATTCTGGACGATAGACTGTAAGAGCAAATGACATACCCCAGGTTCAGGCCTGGCCCATCCCAGTCTTCCACACAATCCCCCACCCTCTGCCTACCTGCCCAGGGTAACCTCAAAAGCAGTGTGCTAGGGAAAGGCAGAGCTTCCAGTAGCCAGGACCCCTGGTGGTGTGGAACGGAACCATTCTCTCCCCGACCAACTCCTCCCACTGATTGGACTCTGTGTGTCCAAAACACACATCTATTGTGTCAGTCATGAGCTGGAACTTGACTATTACAGCAGCTAGCATGACTTCAACCAATGCACCCATATTACGATTCTCAGGGAAAGCTGGTGATCACCTCCCACTATAGAACTAAAAAGTCAGACATGCTTTCCCAGCCTCCCTTGCACCTACAGCACACGCATGTGATCTCAGCTCTATCCATCAGGTACACCAGACACTCACTCCTGAGCTGGTGACACAAAGAAGCAGGGCGCATGCAGAACAGACTCTGGAAGGGAGGTGACAACGGGGGCTATCATCCAGTTTCCAGCGGCAGGTGCGTCCAATATCCAGGGTCACTGTGTTGATGATGTAAGGGTCGTGCCTGGTCTACCAGCTGAGATGTGACCTCTTCATGGGATCAGGGCTCTGGTGTGATGTTAGACATGTTCCCTGTCTGATACCCACCAAGCCTGCTTCTCCCGCCTTCTCAGCGAAGTTGTGTCCTGCCAGTGTCTTCCAAGAAACCCTTCTCCTGCTTAAGTTACCAGAGTTGATTTCTGTTGCTTGTAACTAAGAACTCCTAGTGTTACAAATGCATCCCTTTCAGTGAGAGAGAAACAGGTGGACCTTCTTGCTCCCTGGTCTTGGGGAGGTGCCTTCCTCCGGTGTGTACTGTTCATTGCCTGAGAAAGAGTCAGCCTGTGCTGTGAGCAGCTCACATTCCCACTGATGGCTTCAGGAGGAAAACTCATGTGTCTGTATTTTGACTGCCCCAGGTTGTGCTGAAGTTGATTAAATGTGAGCAAAATAAATCTTGTTATTTGTGAAAATAGGGAATGGAAAGAAAAATGAAATGCCCAAGAAGTATCTTAGAAAAACACCCCAGGAGGAGAAAGAATACTGGGAACACTGTCCTATGAGTTGGGAAGAAGAGGAAACAGAACACTCGTTTGAGGTCCACTGGATTCTTCCTACAACAAAAGCACGATTTAGATTTTTCAAGCTCTATGCTATCTCAGTGGTCCTGTGCTCCAAACTACAACCGGACTAGGTCAAAGAAAATATACTGTGCAAGGGCGAGTGGTACTGGGGCAGGTTACCTGGCATTTTTGTTTCTCAAGACGTCACTATTGTGCTTAAGCCACCCTCACAGTCAGGATGCATTTCTTCTGTGGTTGGCAGGAGGAAGGTCACCTTGCAGTAATGGGAGACACGCCTGGGCAGTCTCACCTCACGCAACCACTGCCTCTCTCCCGCGCCTGCCCGCAGGGGTGCCAGCTCTGAGCCTCCTTCTACATTTCACCCGATTAGGGGTCTAGGGTCTGGTATATTGTATAAGATTAGCCCCCAGTGAATCACGCAGTGTGACAACGCCCCTTTTCTATCACTTGAATCTGAGCTGTCCTTGAGAATGGCTTTGGCAGATCGAACGTGGTGGGGGTGACACTGCACCTGCTCTGAAGACTGGGCTGGAAGAGGCCTTGCAGGGTTTGTGTTTCCCCTTTTGGAATCCAGAGACCACCTGGTTGTGCAGATGCCCAGTCCAGCCCACTGGAGGCTGAGTGGTGACCTGGAGACGAGCCACCGTGCCAGGGGTGGTAGCCAGGCCGAACGTGGCCCCTGGACCTTCCAGCCTGGCTCATCTGCCAGCTGAATGCAGCTGTGTGAGTAACCGGGTGAGAGCGGCAGAGAGCTACCAGCCAACTCACACAATCGTGAGAAAGAATAAAACTTGTTTTCTTAAACCAGTAAATTTTGTGGTGGTTGGTCAAGCTCCCCAAAATAATTGATTTGAGGTGGGACCAAAACATTCCATGTGGTAGATTAGGCAGAACCTCTCTGTTTGTGACACGAGGAGCTGGCAGACAAAGTGCTGCAAACTTCTGGAATCTGATTAACTTTGCGTCCTTAAACTCAAAGGTCAGCTAAGTTTGCTAAAGGAGCTGTAAGCCGCACGAAGCCTGTGATAGAAACTACAACTCAGACTCAACTAGGCTAACTGTGAAAGTTCTGCCTTTGAATTCCAGGAAAAACTAAAAGTTCTCAAAATAGATGATTCTGTTGCATTATTGTATCAGAGACATTTAATTTCCACCCCCTCCTGTGGCATTTTCTGACATTTGTGCAAAATTTCAGGGAAGCGCTGCTTCTCCAATTGTTCTGTAGAATCTGACCACTGCTCCCTCGGCCCAGTGACCTTTTCCAAAATAAGCTCCCTAAATTAGATTCCTAGAATTTGTAATGATGCACGGAACGCACACCTAAATCGGGCAACCCACCACTCCAGAGAAAGAAAAAACCTACAAATTCATTTAGAAATGTTATTACAAGGAATGGATAGCCACAAAACAATGCTTAGAAATTCTCATCCAAAGAACCAAAAGACTTGGTCCTCTTTAGGGAATGGTGTTAAAGATGTGAAATAATGGCAATTTGTTCTTAGCTGAAAGATGCCCTTTTGTCAATGGGAGGTTCTGGCTGGCTATGGCCTGGCTCCAACTTACCTTTCTAGCTTCATCTCTGACCCCTTCCTCCCACACCCCTGGAAACCACACCTGGCTACTTCGTGACTCTTTGTTATTAAACCAGGTGTCCCTTGTCTCCCAACTGTGGCCTCTCCTCTGCTGAGCTGACCCGGTCTCATTCCAGTGCCCCTTCTCTGGTCCCCATGGCACCTCCCGCACGGCGCTGCCATGATACTCAGCTCACTGGTCACTAATTGCTCGTTACATGTCTGTCTTCTCAGCGAGGCTCCAAGCGCCTTAAGTGGGGCCTTCACTTCTGTATTCACAGCACCCAGACCAGTGCTTGACGTACAACGAGTGCTGAATAAATGGCTCCTAAAGGAACATAAGACTGCTAAGTCCAATGAGCTACTTGATAAATTCACTGGGATTACTCAAGGGCATTTTAAATGAAAATATCCAAAATGGAGCTCTTGATGACACCCCCACATCAAAAGTTCTTCTCCTCATCCAGGCTCCCAGTTTCAGTAACTGCCTCTGTCCACCCAGGCACCCGACCTAGAAACCGGACAGCATGGCCAGCTCCCCCTTTCCCTCACCCCCAGCATCCCGCCTGCCCTTCCCACCTCCAAACCCTCCAGCTCTTCTCTGTCTCCACCATCCTCTGCTTGGTTGACTACAAGACAGTCCTAAGGGGTCTCCCTGTTTCTGCTTTTGCCCGCCTCTAGCACATCTTCCACACAGCTACCCGAACCATCTCGTAACGTGCAAATGAGGTCAGTCATTCCCTTTCTAGAGCCCCTAATGACTCCCCATTATGCACAGAATAAAGTGCAGCCCCTCCCCCTTGTGAGGCCCCAGGGACCTGGCCTCCGACTCACCCTGTGCCTCACTGTGCCAGCGTATTAGGTAGCACTAGTCACAGTGGGCCTCAGGGTTAGGGAGTCCTCTGAGTTCCGCACTTGTGGGTTCCTGGGTTCCTTCTGGTCTCCCCTAGAGGCCTTCCCTGACCATCCCACTTGACGCAGCAGCTCGTCACGCTCAACCCCCACAGTGATTTTGGTCACAGAACCTCATCTACTTCCTTCATGGCACTTTCCCTGAGCTGTGATTAGTTTGCTCATTTGTTTACTTGGCACTTTCCACGTCTCCCACTGAAGGTAAAAACCATCAGGGTGAGACTCTTTCCAGTGAGGTACCCATTGCATCTCCAGCATTGGAACTTTGCCGGACACAGAGGAGGTGTTAGAAAAACAGGTATTGAATGAAGAAATAAACAAAGAGCAGAGGAGAAGGGACATGAACAAGCCCGTTATGCCCCACTTGCGTGCGCCACCATGTAATGCCAGTGTCTGATCAATGGAAAAACTGGGGTCAGGCCTTCAAGATTCAGGTCAACTCAGCAGCCACAGAGCGATGAGTCTTCATGCAGGACCTGCATATACCTCATCTCATTTAAATCACACAACAGCGTTATGAGGCAGCTATCCTTAGTTAACTCATCACTTTACAGAGGAAGAGAAAGGCTTAGCACACCGAATGACTTGCCTGCAACAGACCACATCCCCTGTGACCCACAGATCCAGGCTCTGTTTTAGGTCTGGCTGACTCCATGTGGAGCCCCCACATGTCCCATGACCTCCTGTTTCTTCTGAGATTTTCCCAGAAGGATTAAAACCGAAGTCCTGACTTGCTCCTCCAGAGGCTTACACCAGGCTACATGTTTCACTTGGTTATCCCCTCAGATGACCGGGGCTTATTTATATCAGGATACTGGACAAAGGTAGCTGTGGCAAGCCCCCTGATTCTCATTCTACAAGACAGGCATTACATTCTTCTTCTTTAACGTTGACTTCTTATTAAAGCTTTGCATGATGATTAAGTTAAGCCACTGACTTCCCACAACTTCCACAATAGGGAGATCCTTACCTCGGAATTCCAGTCCTCGAAGTTGGAAGGTGACAAGACCGTTTCCAATTTCAATCAGGTGAACAAAAGCATTGAGGTAATCTGAGGCCAAAATAAAGCAGTCGCCAGAGCTGTAGTTCCCCCATCGACCAAGGATTAAGTCACCGCAGAGGGATTCCTGGAGGGCCCTTGTCAAGTGCTCATAAAAGATGGAGTTGAGATTGTTGTCATCGTTCCCTAAAGGCAGAATGAGAAACAGGCCCAGTGAATGCTCACTCCTATGTCCTCAGACCTAGGAGCAGTGAGTTGGCATTTGATTAAGGGTAAAATCAGACTTTTTAGATACTTCACCCATTTTAGTGGATTTTGTGAGACCTTCTATTTTTTTCCCTTTACACTTTTTTTCTAGGTAATCTCATCTATACAAATGGATTGAATTACTATCTAAATGCAGAAAACTTACAGATTCATGTCTCCAGCCGAGTCCTCTCATCTGAGCTCTAGACCTGAACACCTACTTGTTTACTTTCCATCTTCCCTGGTACGTCTCAGACGCTCCTGACCTTCAGCACGTCCAAGCCGGGCCCCTCCTGTTCCCCATCTCAGTGAATGACACCGACATCCCATCAGCTATAACCTAGGCATCTTTGTTCTCACTCCTTCACACTCTCCTTTTGACTTTCTTCTAATATTTTTCACATCGTTTTCCATTTCCACCACCTCTAGCCTATTCCAAGTGGTGTTATTTCCCAGGTAGACAACCACAATAGTCATGTGGCTCGCCTACACATCTTCAGTGGGATGTGCTATCGAACCTATCCTCTACACCACAGCCACAAACAGCTTTTCAAACCAAACAGTTGGACGTGCTACCCGGGACGCCCCAGCCCCATTTCTTAAAGCCCTCAGTGGCTTCTCAGTGCCCTTAAGATGGAGACAAGACTTCTTCATATCACCTGTAATAGGGTCTCAAATACTTTATCATTTACAGGAATAAGCTAGGATGGTCTTGAGCAAACGCAGGATATGCGGCCCCAAGAGAGGTACCTGCTCCCTTCTTCCCTCTCCATCCTTACCGCACCAGCTCCCTCCTCACCCTGTGAGCTCAGCAACACAGAACTGGCTCCCACTGAGTGACTCGCGTGCTCCTTTGCACCGTGGGCCTTTGCGGACACCCATCTTCCTGCCTGGGTTGCTCTTCTGTTCCTCTTCGGCTTACTACCCTACGATTCTCCAGACCTCAGCTCTGTCACCACTTCAGGGAACCTTCTCCGATCATGTGGCTGGGCCAAATCCTCTGCCACTGCCCCTTGTCATTGCGATCCTCTGCTTTGAAGCACTTACCACAGTTGGAATTTGACTTTTGCTTTTGTATATATATATATATGTGTTTATGGTTATTTGGTTAACATCTGATTTCTCCAATGCACCATAAAGTGAAAACAGATCTATGCCTATTTTGCTTAATGTTATATCGCAAACCTGCCAGACATTCCTAACATGAAGTGGGGGCTAACTAAAAGTCTGCTAAATAATAGATAACAACATAGATTGCACAGTTTCTTTAAGAGAAATTTTGTTAAGAACATACCCATTAAGTAATCAAAGTCACTGAGGTATAATTGACAGTAAACAGCATTTCTCTATATGCTATAATATAATTATTATTAGCATTATATATTAGGTACAAATATATATTATATATTATGGCTATCAATATAAATTATTATATACAGGTGCCATTTACTGTTTTTAAATTTTATATATATAAAACTCAGATTTACTGAGGAATAATTTATGCAGAGTAAAATTCAGCCTTTTTAGTGAATCCTATGAGTCTTAAACATGCCTGCAGTCAAGTAACCACCCTCAGAAAATGCATCTGAGATGCCCCCATGCTGCACACAGCAGCGTGTTCTGTCTCGTCACTGAGTACCAGCCCCTGGCATGCACTACAGTTTGTTTATTCACTCACCAGTTGAAAAACATGTGGGTTGTTTCCAGTTTGGGTGATTATGAGTAAATCCACTAAAAATATTCGTGCACAGAAGTTTGTGTGAACATAGTTTTCATTTCTCTTGGGCGAACCCCGAGGAGTGGCACTGCCCAGCTCCCAAGCAGCTGTACCAGTTTTGCATCCCCCCCCACTCCCTCCATGACTGAGAGTCCAGTTGTTCTGCCTCCTTGCCAGAACTTGGTGTGGTCAACTGTTGCTTGTTTGTTTAATTTTAGCCATTCTAATTGGGTGGATGATGACACCAAGGGAAGAGTCCAGGAAGGCTACAGCAAAGGAGATGGGATGATGGGTTGCCCTGCTTCACAATGGAAGTCCAGGGTGTGTGTGTTTGGGGGAGCATAGAATTTGGGGTTCCTGGTGTATTTCCTTTATCTCCCTGCTGGGCCCTGACTCCTTTCGCTCCTTCCATTGGATCTCAAAAGATAAAGGATAAAAACGTTTCTGAGAAGCACGAATACACTGGGAAGTCCTCCTGGATTCAGGTCCTGTGCGGGGAGAAAGTGCTGGGAGAAACATTTGCACTCAACTTTTATTTTAGGAGAATCTTTTCTTTAAGGAGTACATTCTGGCTCTAGAAAGCATAATGTTGCCTAGAAGACAAAACGCCTAAAGCCAAACTCAAGGCTCCAGTCTGAGCTGCCTCTTGGAGTGCGACAGAGATTCAGGGATACAGGTCTGAGATAATGACTGTGGATCTGAACAGGGCTCTCTCCCCTTGGGAACCGAAGCATGTCTGGGGGGGCAGGAAGGTAAAGACTGGCCCCACGTGTACCCACATAAGTGTGCCGACCCACCTCCAAGCAATAGAAGATAATACTACCAAATTATGAAGTTTGTTGCTAGGCATTCATGACAGTTAAAAGCTGAATTGAAATTAGTATATTTATAAGCTAATTATGATTCATGGAAAGAAATGAACTGTTCTACGGGCTGAGTCATTTCATGTCATCTAATAAAGTATCAGTGTGCTTAATTTCCTATGCAGAGGAAGGCAGAGGAAGTCTGTCTGACCCGCCGTTATACGCATTTTCTACGATGAATCAGCTCGCATCCAGAGACACTAATTAGAGATTACTTTGAGGCTCTGGCACTTCTAAAGGATGGGCCTGAATGACAGAATTCACTTTTGCTCAATTGTTCAAACCGCTTGATATTTAAAGAAAACAATTTAACCCACTAAAAGTGGTGATCTTCTCAGAACACATTGACCGCACATTAGGTTACAATGAGACACATCTATGAATAACTAAAGACCCAGTGCACTTGCGACACTGTCCTTACGCCTAACATCAATGGCCCTGCAATGTCATCATGTCCCAAAACTGCACTTAGAGATTTTTCTACCCACCCCCAAGTTGTACTGACATAAAGTTAAAAAAAAAACACAAAATAAAACAAAACAAAACCTCTCCAGGTATTTTAAAATTTCAACTTATGATTTCAAATTATCATGTATATACAATTGAATTACAGATAATGAGCATGATACAATTCTTCCCAGACAAAATTGTTGGCAAAGGGGAAAGCGAGGTGGATAAAAATAGAGACGTTCAAATTTGCATTCTGATATGAGGAAAAAAGAGGTAGAATGTTTAAAACTTAGATACAGTATGGAAAGAAAAAAAGTAAAATAATTGTCTAGCAGGTAAATCCTTCCATAGATTAATGTTGAATGAAATTTCTGAAGACTTCTGGATCTTGGATGCCTTTGAGGATATTACAATGCTGATATTATTCCAAAGAATTTTTTATTGCTAAAATACAAGGTTTATAGAGTGTATTTGAAATTTATCATGTACAACATAAAATGTCCTAATTAACAGGGGCATTCAATTCATTACTTATACTCAATTCTAAATAATGGAGGAATGAATCTCTAAACTAGATCGGTATGCTGTGTCAGTCTGCTTGGCACAGTCTGAGCTTTAGAGTCGGCATATTTACCAAGATGTGCTGTCACCACAATGATTTAAAATACGAGTACTTAATCCCTTTTTTTGGATTGAAGGAATCCATCTGTGTGGAAAAATTTTTAAAAAGAGGAGGAAGATAATCTTCTTACCTGGATCCCTTTCAATTTGGACGGCCAGTCTCGTGTTGGAATTATCCACACGCCTTGTGCTAGAAGAGGCCACAAAAAGGTGAAAGGTCATGGTTAGATCCGTACAGGTGAGAGAGCTGGCTCACAGAATCAGCCATGTGAGTGGGAAATGCCAGGGAGGTGGAGCTCACTTATTGGGATGCCTACTCCAATTTGACAATGGAGGGAGGGTCTCATGATAAAGAAGAGAGGGGGACGTGCTAGGAGCACGTTGGGGGAAGAGATAATGAGTTCTCTGGATGAGGGATAATGGCCTTGTGCCTTATCAATTTGGAGCACCTGGTCCAAAAAATAAAAGCAAGCACTTGGACTGCCCGTGGAATGTCACTCACTTCAGAACTTGAGAGCAGTGCACATATAAACATCTTTTCAATCTGATTCCAGAAAGTCATGGGGAGTAGTCAGCGTCTCCACAACTTGCTTTGAAGAGTTGAGTGCATACTTATAGGCCTTTCATAGGTTGAACCACAAAAATAAAAACAGCTCTCACCAACTTCAAAGATGATTGTCAGTAGCCATGGTGACAAGTGGCCACCAGAACCAGTTTTAAACCTCTTCCATTAGAACTCCTCTCAGTTTACAGCTTTTGTAGGCTTGCCAATCCAAGGTGGCCCTTTGTTTCTAAATGTCATCCAGTGAGGGACAGACTCATTCCAGACTTCTGAAGGGTAAAGGATCAACAAGTCTCCCCAAGTAACTGCCTGAGCAGATGGCATCACCCCACCATTGCCTCTAAAACTTCACCAGCCCCAGAACGTCACATGTCCCCAAAACCCTTTCTAAGTGCCACAATCTGCTGTGCTCAGAGACACTGTGCCTGACTAGCTTTGCCATTTTAGTTCAAATATTGAGTGGCGGTCTCATCATCGTTTGAAGGATGAAATATGAAATTGATGTCGACCATATGAAGTGGATGATATTCAACTATTTATGACCTGTAGAAAATGGCAATTTCATATGGTTAAACCTACCTAAGCCATTAAGAAAGGGCTTTCGCTAGAAATACATCCCTGAACAGAGGGTTCCACATAAGTTTGACCATAACGAGAGTCATACTGACATTTGTGAAAAAGCTGACTTAACATGCCCGTCCCCTGCCATGGCTCACTCAGCCCGTGGCTTTTTCTGCTCCAACCTCATTGGCCTTTTTTCATGTGTTCAGCATACCCAGACCGCCTTCTGCTGTCACCCCTCCGTCCTCTGCATCCTTTGCAACTGTCGTGTCCTCCACTCCCTCTCCAATCCCACCCACTTTTCCTCCTTGACTCTCTCACCCTTCAATTCAGCTCAAGTCTCAGTTTCCCAGCAAAGCCTGCTCCAGGTGAGTTCCATGTGTCACAGGCTCTTTCACGCACTGTACCTCTCCTTGGGAGCATGGTTAATATCACTAATAATAACGGCATTATTATATGTCTAAGTATGCCTATTTACTATTATGCCTATTTGCTAATTTCTGATTATTATTATGTCTCATTATCATATGAGTAATTACCAGGAAATAAGTAGTACATACTTGTTTAACTATTTTCCATGTATTAACTCATTATATCCCCACAACTACTTTCTCATGATCCACATTCTCACAGAGCAGCAGTCTGACACACAGTGAGATTAAGTCAAGGTCACACAGCTAACAGGTGGTAGAGCCAGGTTGAGGCCAGGCAGGCTGGCTCTGGAGCCTGTGCTCCACACATGTCACAGTTCTGTGGGGCTATTTCACTATCTCTGTCCCTGACACCAGAGCCTAAGTATCATGAGGCAAACTGCTGGCTCACAACCAGCATGCAATAGTCACATGGTAACTCTTTTTTTGAATGAATAAACAAACAGTCGAGATAACGCTGCATCTAAAGCTCTTCTCTCTCATGATACCTGCTAAGAAGAAAGGAGGGTCGCTGCTGCTAGATGACATTTACTCTCAATCATTGACATACTGAGTATGATTTAATAAATGGCGAATGCTTGTTGGTAATGGTGTTTACCAAGAAACCCCCAAAGGCAGACTTCCTCTGTGAACTCATCTCTCGGAAATCAGGACAAATAATAAGATACTTTGATGGAACTGTAATTTGAATAAATGAAAAGGTCTGTTTTCAGAAAAAAGCATTCTCTTTTCCGCGTATGTCTGGATATTCCAGAACCACCTTGGCACAGTTCCGTTTCACCTTGGAGGAGGCGAGAAGGAGTACGCCTCACAAAGGCCGTTAACGCAGCTTGCTGTCCTGTCACTGCTCCAGTTTTCCTTACAAATACCCTCAGACCAGCTTTGAAAATAAAAGAGCCAGCATGGCAGAAAATAAAGCAAACAACAAAAGTCTTTCTAATGAAGGCCAAAATCCCATGTGGACACAGCTAGTCCCTAAATGGAATTTTAATTTCACCCTAAGACCCAGGACAAATGGGATTTTCAGCAGCGGAATAAACAATTTTTAAAGTGGGATTGAGCTGAAAGAAAGTCATTTACCCAACTCCTTGGGGAATTAAAACACCTTCTAAAACTATGTTAACTGGAAAGCTATCTTTTCAAAAAGCTATGGAATACAGAGCTAAATCCC